AAAAAAAAAAGGATTATAATATTAATTGAATTTTTGATTTTTATTTTATTTAAAAGCTCTATTATTTAAGAAACGTTCAACTGTTGCATCTTTTGCTGTTACATTTTTTCAAGGAATGTCATTCTTTACTTTGGTATATTTTGTGCCATTATATTTTCAATTAGTTAAAGGATCATCAGGTACAAAATACACAATTTATTTTCTTTTTAAAAAAAAAAAAAAAAGATTTTTTAATCAAAAATAAATAAATTAGCAACCATATCCGGGGTAGAATTATTACCATATATACTAGCAACAGTTTTTGCCACAATATTCTCCGGTATATTGATTACTCTCTTAAAGAAAACATCATATTGTACACATTTGTGTATACTAGGGTCAGTATTAATAACAATCGGTACAGGACTGATTAGTACATTTACAGAAAATAGCACAAGAGGTGAATTGACTGGCTACTTGATGATAGCTGGTATTGGAGCTGGTCTGATTATGCCAACTACCATTTCATTTGTACAGACTATCGTTCCAAAAGAGCACATTGCAGCTGCTTCTTGCTTAGTTTCTTTGTTTAGGACAAGTAAGTTTTTTAATTTATCTATGTAGATGTGTGTACGTTTGGTGTGTGGAAAATTCTAATTAATCAAATTTCTTTTTTTTTTTTTTTAAATAAATAATAAAGTTGGTGGAGTTTTTGGCATAGCAATATTAGGTGTAATACTTAATAACGATATAAACAATCATATGAATGACCTTGTGAGTGCATTTTTTAATAAATCATCCTCTGGAATGACTCAACAATTAACACCATTTCTCAAGGATGCATTGTCTAGTTTTAATGACGTTGACATTGATAATTTACCACCAGCAGTTAAAATTACATTCATGCATATATTTGTGATTTCATTCCAAACTGCTTTTAAAGTTGGTATTGTGATGTGTGCGCTTTGTTTTGTTTCTTCAATTTTAATGATATCATGGAATAAGATAATTATAAATCTCCGCAAGAAATAGTAATAATTTAAATAGTTAATAATGATAACAATAATAACAACAACAATAACAAATTGTGAATAGTAACAATAACAATAACAATAATTAATAATTAATAATTAACAATCAATTATAGTTAATAACAATAATAACAACAACAACAAGTTGTGAATTTTTAACTTGAAATAAAGAATTGTAATAAAATATCTTTGACATCTAATGGCGCAGATAATCAAAATCAGATTACTGCATCGTTATCATGTTTGTGGATTCGTTCTTGAAATTTGAAGTTAAATTCATTTTCTACAGATGAGAAGTGTTTTATTATTTCACACCTTCGATTGTTATTCTTCTTCTCTACTAAGGTTTGGATCTGGTTTATTTTTGTTGAACTGGTTCGAATTCGGATTCTAAACAGACAAACCGGATTTAGAATTTTTTGGATAATAATAATAAATCCTATTAACAAAGCTTCTCAACCATTGAATTCGGGATGCAATGTTTTGGAGATAGCAGGTCTATTTATATGTTTTTGTAGTGATTTATTAGACTACTCGTCAATGCACCGTTTGGCCACGAAATAGTCTATTTTATGAAAAACTATATCATGCTAGGATACTTCGCATTCCAACTATTCAAATTTATTTTCTTTGTAAGTATTTTAATTTAATTCTCATATATATATATATATATATATATATATATTATTGCTTCGTTGCTTGAAGATCTTCAAAAAGCACGTAAAATTGCGGTCACGTTTACTTTATCGACAGTTCATTTCGTCGACAAACACTTCACTGACAGTTAATTTACATGGGATGGATGATATTGGCACTGTCTATTTTGATGATAATAATAATTGATGATAGTTATTGTTTTTAATAGTATGAATCAGACAAATTGACATTTCGTTTGAATCCAAAGCTCAGGAAATATTTATTTTCTGATAATGATTCTTTTCAAGATGCATGAAATTCAGTCATTAATGTGCTTGCAAAACTGATTAGTATCCAAATTTTCTTTTTATTTAAATTTCCTGATGCTTCTGAAATCATGATTCCTAGATTCAATCACAGGACTAACAACTAAACAAATTACATAATCAATGCTAAAATCATATGGTCGATGAAATGAATCAGACCCCAAAATTGGCGCTGTGACACAGAAAGTTGTGGGGGTTAAGTGTCTTGCACTGTTACTATATATATTAATATATACCAGTACCGGGAAAATTCCATAAATGAAAATCATATTAACGCGAAATCGATTTTTCTAAACACGCATTTAAAAAATTAATAATAATAATAATGCGAATCAAAATAGTCGAGGACATGTGAAATTTATCTTCACTAATTAAAAATATATACAAGGAAGTTTTGTGTACTTGGCACACTAAAATATTTTTATAATTTACTGCAATCAAACAAGGATTAATATATTAACGTCATTGATATCAGAGTAATCCCAAAAAATAAACTACTTCTAGTGGTGTGATATGAATTATAATGTCTCCTCCTGCCCAATTTTCACCGTTGTGATGCTGGAAGATAAACCTTAATAGAAAATATCTTTTAAAGGTTACAACTTGATAATTGACTCCAAGTGAAATAATTTGACCACATTTGCAAATAACTTTTTTAGCATTGACAAACTCTTGAAACTTAGGTCATGTAATGAAATGTTGTTGGCATGAATCATAAGGAATTCTTTTACTATTTTTACTCTTTTTTTTTTTTGGTATGAGTTAAATTTTTTTTTCTATTAATTGAATCTACCATAAGGCGGTCACAATTTTTTTTAAAGTACTTTCGAATCATAGTGTTGACGCAGAAATCATGGAATGTGTGTTTAAAAACGGAAAATACTATGTAACGTGATAATTGTTTTTCTAGAGCTACAATAACAACAATTACAATCAATACTAGAGTATAAG